GATGTCATCTGCCTGTCATTGCTGTGGCTGGAGTTAATCTACCTATAGCATGACGGGAGGGGGGACTTCAGAGGGTGGAGCCATGGTATTTAAGGGGGGAGTGAATGAGGTGTGGGTCAGGACCGTAGCGATGTCATCTGCCTGTCATTGCTGTGGCTGGAGTTAATCTACCTATAGCATGACGGGAGGTGGGACTTCAGAGGGTGGAGCCATGGTATTTAAGGGGGGAGTGAATGAGGTGTGGGTCAGATAGGGCTTAGATAGGGTCCAAGATAGGGACATGATATGAACCAGATAGGGACTTGGTTAGGGACTTAGGGAGTTAGGGCTTATACCTGTCGTGTAGTACTGTGCTATATTTTGAGAGAAGGTCTGAAAGAGAGTGTGTGTGTGATACTTTATATTGATTGCCTTATTATTTCATTGATACAGTGATTTACCATTTCTTCTGTTATTCTAAATAAACACAAGTTTTTATTTTAAAAGTCATTTATTTGCCTGAAGAGTCTCAGATGAAGGAATGGTTGGTGGCAGCGTGAACAAAGTGTGTGTATGTAAGAGTGACGTGACACCTCCTTTGTGACGTGTGAGGAGGCTGTCACAGGAGGCTTCTACTTTTTCAATCCAGAATGATTTGAACATGCCTTTCCTTGTGTGGTTAGTTGTGACACAGTCTTGTAAAGATGGGGGGGGGTTGCATATCTATAGGTGGTGTTTTGATGATGTAGGCAGTAGGGAAATGATACTGAGGAATAAGGAAACATTTCCTCTCCCTCGATTACCTCTTAATTTTTTTAATTTTAAAAATTTCTTACATCTATAAGACTACCCTATAACCTTACTTCTAAATCATCATTATTTCCTGTATTTGCCACTGTTAGTTCTCTAACAGAACAGCAAAAGTGGGACCAGAGAGAAAGGAAAGAAAGAATTGGTATTTTTAGCATCAGTAGTTAGGTTGGATCCTTCTGTGAACACTCTGAAGGCTCCAAGTTCACCATGTTTAGATTGACAATAGAAGTCATGGCATTCTTTGTTTCTGGTGTAGGGTTTCCTGAAAATCTGTGAGCTGACAGGAAAGGGACATTCAGCCTCAGAAGAACAAGTCTGAGATGTTTTGCTTCCTAACACACTTTATAAGATTCCCCTACTCTTACATTCCACACACAGAAACCAACTGGATCCAGAAGTCGAATCTTACTTGAACACCGATGACCACTGGTTCACAATCTTCATTCACCTGAGGGTAGCTGCTCACAATTGGGGCACAGGGCAGACTGCATGCTTCAGACAGTTCCAGGGTTCGAATCCCCACGTGGCCAAGCCCTGTTAGAATCACTAGAAGTCAGTTCCGACTTGATGGCACAGAATAGGGCTTGGGACGTTCCTCAGAACTCAAAAATAGTTTCCTCATTGGAATATATACGATGTGTTTGTGGTCTCATGAGAAGGGGGAATCTAGCTGAGGAAAAGTTTGGCACCAAAATTAAGGAGCAGGTTTGCATACATCTTCATGCTTCCACCACACAAAACAGTCATTTCCTTTTGACTTGCGAATGATTAAAAAAGTAATAATTCAGAAACACATTTTGGCCACCAGATAGCAGCACCTAACTATGTAGGCGTAGAACAATATTTAACCAGTCCTTCATAGACAATGACTGTTCAAGTGGGTAAGCAATGTTACCTTGTCTCTTGATCAAGCAAATGCCAGGAAATTTAAGTCCGACTTCTGTTTGAGAAACTGGATGAATATTTGAAAAATTTGACACTGGTGTTTTGTATCAGGTTTCTCAAAGATGTTCCCTGTTATTATATGTCTCTGCTGTGGAAAGAATTGCAAAGGGCCCCAGCTGTAATCTCTCATACAGGCCTGGAAACATCCCTTTTTGGAGACAATAGAAATCGGCTGCCAGGCAATGTGGAGAACACAACTGAAATGGACCGTTGGTACAAAGATTGTTATTGATACTGTTTGTTGTAAATAATATGTGAATCAATGTGCCTATTCCTTCATTTCTTGTTTTCAGCTCCATAAAGCCTTCTCAGTTAGGCAACATTCCTGAGTATCACAGTCTTCTTGAGCTATCCTGCAAAGAAGTATGGGAAGGGGCCATGTCATCATGAGGACAACGGCAGAATGTCAGCAGGAGCAACAGCAGCACCAGTAAGTGTGTAAACTATACAACAGTGACATCATTAATTTATACTTTAGCATGACTGTAAACTTGGGTTTCACTAGATTTATTTCAAATCAGACTGGTTAGTTTTTGAGTTACAGTTATACTGATCTGAACACAGCATCAGAAGGAAGATTCTGGAATTTTCTTTGCAGTGCTCGTGTTCCAGAAATGTGGTCATCCTAAACCAAGAACTGGCTTCAGAAACTGTTAATTAAAAACCATTGCTCTGAAATTGCAACAGCCCTGAAAATATTTTAGGCACAATCCATAAAGGTTAATTACAAGGAGCAGCACAGTCCTGGTATAGCTTCTTTCAGAAGGGAGTTCTGCTTCTTTAAAGGAAGATGGTAAGTGAATTTAGGGTTGCTGCTCAACTGTTAGGATGAAAATGATTGTAATGGGAGAAGAACATGATACAATAGTGTACAGGGCAACAACAACCATTTTAAACAAACCATTGAATCCTGTACAACCAGTTTCGAAGTAAACAGGCACAGTACTGTGCTGTATATACAGATTGTAAGTGTGGAGACCTATATATGGCAGATGGGATCAGAAAGCCAAAAATTAGCTTCTGTACAGCTGGAAAATATAGATTTGGGAGGAGTTACTTGCTCAGTTTCGGCCAAATTACAGCCCTTTGGCTCCACTGAAGTGCTTGGTGAGGAGAGCTTTGGAAAATTCCCCTTTTTGGACCAGTGGTAGCAGCTCCTGTATGCCACCAAAATGGTTCACTTTACTTCAGAGATGCTGACTAGTTTCTTCAGTAAGACTTAACTATGAAGAGTTCTGCAGGCAATTTGTTTGGCCACCTCTTCCATTGTGTCATGTCTGTAAGAACCTCTCACAGCCGAGTCTTGCTGAAGAAACCAGCCACCACACTACACTGGCTTAACCACACTGAAGTTCCCTAAATCAAAAGGGGATTCTTCCACAAATAGTTATAATACTACTACTACTACTACTACTACTACTACTACTACTACTACTACTACTACTACTACTACTACCAACAACAACAACAACAACAACCACTTGTTAAACAAATGAACTCCAAAGGGGCTTGCAATGTGCATCTGGTAATTTGCAATTAATAAAGAGTTCTAGTTTTACCACAGTAGCTTGAATCATGGTGGTGGCCTTTTATTTTTATCATACCATGCATATTCATTAGCTTATCCATGCCGGGATGCTTCTGCAGTCACCAGCCACTGCTTTGTGAGTGTCTGTCTGTACATTCCAGATAAGTAAGTAAGTAAGTAAGTAAGTAAGTAAGTAAGTAAGTAAGTAAGTAAGTAAGTAAGTAAGTAAGTAAGTAAGTAAGTAAGTAGAAAAGAAAGAAGGAAGGAAAGAAAGAAAGAAAGAAAATGTGCAGCAGTTTTGCAATTTGCTGTAAGGCAGCCAAACGTCTTTTTAAAAAGTAGTGCAGCTATTAATTTACCCATTAAAGTATTCCAGTCTGTGAGCACAGGCAATTCAATAACCAACTTCTGAATAGTAAAGGTTTTGGGAAACTAAAGGTGCTTACAAAAAAAACCCCAAACAAACAAACAAACCCAGAAAAATCTCACACAACACTGACCTGTATATATTATGAGGAATCCGTTTAGCTCCATGCCCTACTCTTATGTTCTCTGGTGCCCCTCCTTTAATTAGCTCTGCCCCTTCAGTGACCTTTGCAATTGCACTGATGGCCAGCTATAAATTCCACTCAAATTGCAGTCCTTTAATGCTGCTAAAAGGTTGTTCCCCATGCACTTGTAGCTGACATTCCCTTTAAGACCACTCCCATTTCAAACATTCCTACAGTATTTAACTGAACCTGTGAATACTTAAGGCCCCATGAGGAGAAATGTGGGTTATAAATATTTAAAATAAATAAACTATTAATAATATTGGTGGCGGATCAGGGGTAAAAATGATAAACAAGCCTGGTAGCAATGAGGGGCCCTCCTGTTAATTCTGCCATGTGGAGAACCTGGGCATTGTCCCCAAAGTCCTGATGGAATCACTGAAAAGAGAGGAAGACCTTAACTTTCATGGTGACCTGCAGCTGTTTATTCCTCCAGATTTTTTAAACTTCTAGCTCCTGGAAAGAAGGCCCTTCCAGTCTTGGGGCAAAATAAATAAATACATAACTTGGGCCTAGGCTAGCCAGACAGTACGGTCTCCAGAGATAGTACAGCTGTCTTGTCATGCCCCATTTGACATTAATCATGCTTTATAAAGTGCTACTGTGGAAGATTTGCAGCAAGATCTTCTGTGGAGGAAGGGGGGAGGATGTGCTTTCCCCTCTTAATAGGAGAGACTCACAGATGCATCACCCAACAATTCACCAAAGGGCACACTGGATAAGAGGACTTTCCTCTCCCCTCCTGTCTGTAACATGCTCTTCTCTCTTTACAGTATCTCTTGACTGGGAAACAAATACAATCAGCATCATGTGTCTTGTGGCAGAGTTTTGAATTTTGGCTAAAAAAAAAACTCTAGGTGCACAGCAGAAGAGCAGATACTTACAGAGCAGAATTGAGCAAGTCTTCCCAAAGTAGACAACCCTGTTTTCCCCAATCAACTGGCCTTCACCACTGTCTGGGCGGGCCAGGATTTCTGGGAATTGTTGTCCAAGAACTTCTGGGGTCCCAAGGCTAGCAACCACTTCCATAGAGCAACAGGCCTCAACAGATTCACAGACTGCTTCCAGCAAACACTACATTCTAACTTCATCAGCTGCTAACTGCATAACAGCACACAAACCACCAGCAGAGTAAAAAGAGAGTGGAAAAGACATAGAGCAGAGAGGCGGGGGTCGTCTTTGAAATCAAAAGCAGGGAAGGAACAATTGGTTACTGCTGGATTGATTGATGGTCACCCCAGCCCAGAAAGAAAGGCCCTTCCCAGCCAAACTTACTGAAGGCAGCATACAAGGCAGAAGTAACTCCAACAGTATCAGCATCCTTTGTCGTAATTTACTCCTTTGTGACCACCCACTGTTGTCCCGGTTGTCAACCTGCAGTGAATAAAATGATTTGAGGGCAGCCCCAGAGTAGGTGTTGAGGAATAGTGACAAACATGGGATAAGAGTTAATGAACTCAGTAAAACACAGGAGGAACACAGAAACGGAGCAAATAAGAATGCTTGAGAGAGAAGGTATGTGCTGGAAAAATACATGGGGCCATCTTAAGTGGAAAATCCTGAATCACAGGAAAGAAAGTAGGAGAAAAGGCAAGCACAGCTTCCTTGAAAACAGCATTCTTAGGATAGTGGATCCCACTGGAATTCATTACAAAATTAGCACATCCCTAGGACTAGACAAAGTAACAAAAAATGGATAGTGTCTCAAAAATGGATAGACTTAAAAACACAGAATCACATTGTTTGGTACAGGGTCAGAAATGTTCCTTCAATGAACTGGGTCCTTTTGGGGAGAAAGGCAGGATGTAAAGCTTTTTAAATATATACATACAACCAATAGAATTCAATCTGCCAAGAGATGACAGTATCAATCAACACTAGTCAGTGGTTTGTAGGACATTCAGGATACGGGAGACAGAAGTTATGTAAGCTAGTAGGGATGTTGGCAAATCTTTGGGTCTGAGTCTTTGGTACCAAGCCCCATGTCCCGATTCAAAATAAGCTTTTTCCCCAGAAGAAGGGAAGAGGTGGATGGGTTCCGATTTGCAAGTCAAGTCTGAATCATTGAAAAAGAAACCCAAGTCGAGCCATCAGTGCTACTTACATCTGACTTGACAGTGAGTCCTGAGTCCCTATTCCTGTAAGCTAGGCATGTTATTTCTCTTTCTGTGTCCTGCTTCTCCCCTGCCTGCTTCTGCTTCCAGGTCTAATCTGAACAAGGACTTAATGCTGCTTTTTAGGACAAGGATGCAAGGCTGATGACGTAAGTGAAGCAATCAAAAATCTGATTGCTCTCGCCACTGGGTAACCACAGCAGGCTTCATATGCCTGGAAGAAGAGTAAAGGAAGTCTAAATCAGAGCTGAAATATCAAGACACTTCAGGTTCAGCACCTGTCATTTTGTAAATAGGGCTTATTTCTTTGGAAATTTCTCCCTTATATGCTGTTGGAGGAAACACTGGGAGAGTATGTGTATGATTGAGGCTGCAGTCTTAGAACTTGTTCTGGAATAAGTTTCATGGACCTCAGTGGTACTTACTTCTGAGCAGATATGCATAGGTGTGCATAGTTTCATATTGCCAGGACTGGGGGAAGGTTAGGAAAGGACACAAGGAGAAAAGGAAGGGATTTATTTTGGAATTGTTGGAATTACTTTGTTGTTGTTGTGATTCGGCCTGGGGAAGCTATCTGGAGTTTAGCATTTATAAAGTTCCAAAGTATGTGGAACCTTATTCCAATACAGTTGTTCAGGTAAGATAAAAGTATGTGGAATTACTTCAGCATGCTATTTTTTTTTAGATCGAGAAGGAAAAATATTAAAGAGAATTTTAAAAGTCCAAGAAATCATAAAACGTAAAATGCAGGAAACTAAAATTCTTCATTCACATAATAAGAAATGAAAAGTACTATTTGTTACAGCTGATCATTCAAGATAAAATTAATGGTCAAAGAAAAACAAGGGAAAAGCTTACTGACTGAAGAACCTGGAAGACTGGTTTAGTTACAAAATAATAACCTTGTTTAGATTTGTTCTGTGCTACGTGCTGTCAATGTACTTCCTTTTTTGTGTGTGACTTTTAAAGGGTTTAAAAGATATGTGAGAAGTTCAAGAAGTGTTTTGACCATTACAGCCTCTCAAGGAGTTTCCAAGGCTGGGTCAGAGTTTTGAACCCAATTCTGCTGAGTTCTAATCCAACATTCTGTCCACTACACTGCATTACTCACAGCTATCACATTGGAAGTCAAGGTAGACATTAAAAATGACTTGAATGTAATGTGCTGAATATGATGCATCAGTACTGGAAACCTCTGGATTTGCTTCAGTGACACCAAATATATTTAATAACATTTGTTCCAATTCTGGACTAAAATAAGGGTCATGACAATTAAGTGTAGGATCATCCCCTAACCACCACCCCATCCCACCTCTCTGTTCTGCCATCACTGCCTCAAAAAGCTTTTATTGTTGGTATAAGCAGCTACTCATTATTCTTAATAGAAGCATTTGGTGGAGAACAAAAGATGAAAACTATGAGACCCACTGACTACAATAATCCACTGAATACAGTGCATCTTTCTTCTGGTTAGGATTAGGCATAGGGTTGCACTGTAAATTATATTGCTGAAAACTGTGAGTTTTAGAGTTACACAGAACAGAGATGAGAGGAGCTCCATAAACATGGTGTAGGATGAAAAATCCCACTCGCTCTATTATTTATTTATTTAATTTATATGCCGCCCACACTACCCAAAGGTCTCTCTCTCTCTCTCCCTCTCTCCCTCCCTCTCTCTCTCTCTCTCTCTCTCTGTGTGTGTGTGTGTATCTCAAAGCAACAGGAGGTTTTCCTGTTATTTTTTCCCTTTTAAATTAGATAGAGTTTAAATCTTTATATTAAAATTTCCAAAGGCATAGCTCCATTGTTTAGCCTGTTGTGATAAAAACAACAAAGAACCATGTGGCTGTTAGTTTTAAAAGTGCCACAAGACTGTTGCTTTTATATCAAAGTGTTGCCCTCCTTTATCTTATTTGTCATCTAACTAGCAGAGTAAGAATACCAGTGTGGTTCTTTTATTTCCACTTTACAATGAGAAATGGGGCTACCGCATTTTGCATTGTATCACTGACAATGTCAAAAGTATTGGAACATATTGTGTGAACATACACTACCCACTAGACGTCACCTGCAGGAGCCAGAATCTCTTAAAATCTAGATCTGAAACAACTGCTTGAGAATAGCTGGTAAACAACAATCGCTGTGAGACTGCCATGTGCAGCAGGGTATGTTCCAAAATCTTCATGAGACAAAATCTTCATGAGACAAACTGAACCCTAGCTATTCATATTTTTTACACAAAGCCACTTGTGAGCAGTGGGAGTACATCTTCAAATGCAAGGATTCTCCATCAACAGTTCCAACAAGTGAAGATCTTTTTGCTAGCACCAGAAAGAAGTATTCCACAGTCAACAAAGTACACCTTGAAGCATTGTTTATCTCCAGCAGGAACATATTACTGTATTTGTAATGTTAATGGGTCTTAATTGTTCCACATTTTGCATTGGCGCCTCACCAGGCTATATTGTGGCTAGGAAAATCTATCCCCCACCCCACCCATGAGGATTATGGTCAAGACTTAAAGAGAGAACGGAGCAGACTGAGGGGAATGGCGTATGCCTCTGCTATCAGAAAGACCAGCTCTTCCATCCTGGCTTCTGAGTTATCTAGCAGTACATCAGGCTGCTTGGGTGAAAGGCTACACAGACTTCACTCACATCAGCTAAACGCAGAGAGACTTAAGGCTAAACAACTACATGCTGCTCTGGATGGAACTTCATGTTCAGAGTAATTTTTTCTTGGTAAATAATCTACCAAGGGGGAGGGTGCAATCTGAACCAGGGTCACAGAACTGGGAAAGGAAACCCTCTCTTCATCCTGTATCACAGAACCAGCTGTGTTCTCCTTACCTTCAAGTGAGCCCCCACGTGAGAAAGAACCAACAACTACTAAACAAACAAGCTTCTCTTTTTAACCAAGGGAATGCTTATCAAGCTGTTGGTCTGTGTATTTGTGGCAGTCAAACATATCCCTTGCATTTCAAGCATTGCAGCAGGGGAAGCTATAACATTTTTCCTACTGCAGGAGAAACCTCTTCCTGTTGCTTAGTGCCTGGTCAGCAACATTTCTGGAAAAGGAAATTCTCACGGCATGTTTCTTTTGGAACATACCCATTTTTCTCATCCCTTCTCATCCCCTGGAGATCCTTCCAGTTAAAACAATGGGTAGTTGTTTATGCCAAATATCAATGCTCGGTGAGGCAGTGATGGCAGGACAGTGAGATGGGTTGTGGTGGGGTAGATGATTTTAGACTTGAATATTGGGGGACTTAATTCTGAGTAAAAAGGTATAACAAGGCTAAGAAACCTTTGTCTGTTTTGAGCCTGAGCATGTATAATGGATACCAATTAGTAACCATATATTGATAGTAGGTAAACTGCAAAGCCTCTGGGCTGCAAGGTCAAAAGATCAGCAGTTCGAATCCACATGATAGAGTGAGCTCCCATCGCTTGTCCCAGCTCCTGCCAACCTAGCAGTTCCAAAGCATGTAAAAATACGAGTAGATAAATAGGTACCACCATGGTGGGAAGGTAACAGCATTCTGTGTCTAGTTGTGCTGGCCACGTGACCACGGAAACTGTCTACAGACAAATGCTGGCTCCATGGCTTGGAAATGGGGATGAGCACCATGCCCTAGAGTTGGTCACAACTGGACAATTTGTCAAGGGGAACCTTTACCTTTACAGCCAAAGTCAAATGTATGTGGGGCACCCACTTCTTTCTCTTTCTTTGCAACCCTCTCCTCTTTTCCATCATCCAGTGCTTCCTTCTCTCCTTCTTTCTGCCTGTCTATTGGGCTGCCAGGCTAGGGTTAGAATTTCTTTGCCTGAGGTCTGGCTGATCACATGTAGAGATATTTTTGAAGAGAATCATATGTGACCATAAGCGCTGCAAGTTTGTCACTAGTACATATAATGAACTTTGACCTCCAAAACTTGAATTACAAGTCCCCACAAGCCAAAATTAAAACTATAGGATTACATGAAATC